ACAATCACGAAAGATGCTTCAGGCGAATACCACTTCAAAATGTCTTCGGGTGGGCTTGTATCAGCCCTCTCCGGTTTCAAGAAATCGTTAAGCTTTACCTGGATCGGTTGGCCGGGTTTCTACATTCCACCGAAAGACAGAGCTTATGTCGACCAACGTTTAATGGAGGAATACTCTTGTCAAGCTGTATATCTTGATGATGACGTCGCTGAAGGGCATTACAACGGCTTCTCTAATTCCATTTTGTGGCCACTATTCCATTACCATCCAGGAGAAATGAACTTTGATGAGGAGAATTGGCTCATGTACCGTCAAGCCAACTTCCGATTTGCGGAAACAGTACGCTCGCAAATCACACCCGGTAGTATGGTATGGGTGCAAGACTATCACCTTATGCTCCTTCCCATGATCCTACGCGGCCTCGTTGACGGATCATCTGGAGGTGATTACCAGAAACAAGAGTTGACGAAGATCGCGGAGGGTATCGAAGAGGAAGTTGATATCTCTTCTGAGAGAATACCCGACGTCAAAATAGGGTTCTTTTTGCACACACCCTTCCCCAGCAGTGAAATTTATAGGTAAGTGATCCTCCTTTATTGATCGCTTACCCCGCTGACCCTGCGTTAGAATCCTCCCTGTTCGTCGCGAAATTCTCCTGGGTATCCTTTTCTGCGACCTCATTGGCTTTCACACTTACGACTATGCTCGTCACTTTTTGTCTTCTTGCACGCGCATCCTGGGCTTGCCAACAATGCCAAATGGTGTTGAGTTTGAAGGCCGCTTAGCTCATGTTGGGACATTCCCTATTGGCATCGAACCTTCTTCATTCATCCAGGTATGTATCACGACGTAAAGTTACATGAGTCACTAAGGTTAACAACGTGCAGAACCTAGAGAAGGAATCCGTTAAATCTCGCATAGCTCAACTCGAGCACCGTTTTAATGGAGTCAAAGTTATTGTTGGGGTCGATCGCCTCGATTACATCAAAGGTGTTCCCCAGAAACTTCATGCTCTTGAGCTCTTCTTGACGCAGCACCCTGAGTGGATCGGCAAAGTTAGTGTGGGACTGTTTGTCAATACCTGTTTGACTTACTCACATCACCAGGTCGTGTTAGTTCAGCTCGCTGTGCCGTCTAGACAAGACGTCGAAGACTACCAAAATTTACGATCGACGGTAAACGAGCTTGTCGGTCGGATTAACGGTCGGTTTGGTACAGTCGAATTTATGCCGATACACTTCATGCACAAGAGTCTACCGTTCGACGAGCTGTGTGCCCTTTACGCGATTAGTGACGTTTGTTTGGTGACGAGTACGAGAGATGGAATGAATCTGGTAAATCTTCTCAGTTCTTCACCCATGCGGGGTGATACTGACGTCATCACCATCAGGTCTCGTACGAATATATTGCTTGCCAGCAGGCTCGTCAGGGTGCAATGATCCTCTCCGAATTCGCCGGAGCCGCACAGAGTCTCAACGGATCAATCGTCGTGAACCCTTGGGATCCTCAACAAGTCGCAGACGCGATTCACGAAGCTGTCACGATGGATACGGAAACGCGTGCCGAGAACCACCGCAAGCTTTTCAAATACGTCAACAAATACTCCGCGGCCTTTTGGGGCACGAGCTTCATCAAGGAAATGGGCAAGCTGAAACAGGACGATTTGGACAAGGAGGGTCAAGCCGAGTTGAAGCCCAAGAACGACGAGGGCGCTGGTAGCGATCTTGTTGGAGGGCAAGTGCCTACACCGCAGGTGGTAAGCCCGGGTGCATAGACATCTGGGAAGGCAAGTATCATAACTTCTATTTAGGCACCGGGTCGGATGATTGCGTTGCACACTTTGCGCTTCACTTGGGGCGCTATACGTTGGCTCTTCCATATGATTATTCCATATCTTCAATGGTTTTCTAGAACATAGATGGGGTCTCACATTACTTGACGCTGGAGAGTAAAGTAGTACGTAGAAGCATGAGGTCAACACGTTTTCTGGTTATGCATGCCCGCGACCAGTTTTCATGTAGCCCTTCGAGAAAGATCTCTTAACAAGCGCGAAACACCTGAACTGGTGACGTTGTGGATGAGCGCTCCGGTCGCGCGTAGTAACTAGTACGTCAAGTTTCTCTGTAGACTTTCTCGAAAAGCGTAAAGTTGCTCGCCGTTCCTATAAGAAATGAATTAGAACCGTCATAGGGCCTCAACCAGTTACCTGTTTTAGCAACGAGCGGCTCAGGGTTTCTCTTTGTTCGAAGTTGACGTTCTTCCCGAGTATCTCAATTAAAGAACTTCGACATAAGCCCTTGACACGAAAAAACGGGGCGTAGGACATGTCAGCGTATTAACGCCCTCATTTTGAGCCAGGTGACTCACGATCACAGCGTGAATATCGTGAAGTGGCGTTCTACCGTCACAGACCTTCGTTGTCAACGGGCAAAGTTTGAACGTAGTACATAACGCAAAAGGGTCAGCCAAGCTGAACGCATTTTTTTTTCCAGAATCTGACATGCCCTTGGTCCGTATTGAAACAAGGTTCGAAGTGACTCGGGCAGTGTTCTGACTCCAATTTTGTCACCGGATGTTTTCTATTGTCTTGTCGGCGCAACGCGCAAGGATGGAGTCTCGATCGAATTGTTTTGGGATTCGAAATACGAACAACCCTCCAGCGCAGCATCGCTGTTAGACGGGTTCGATTAACCCAGTCCCATGGAATGGTATACTGACGTCGAGGGGCTTTGTAAAATGACCACCTGAGTAAATCCGACGAGGACCATGAATAGGGAAATGTCCAGCCCTTGCAGATGTCTTAAGTTTACGCATCTTTTCCGAAGCACACGCCCAATGACATTCCATTCAACGCCACTATTAGTATTAGTATGAGTATTAGTAGCAGTGGTAGTAGTCATCACATCATCCGCAGACAAGACATTTACCGAGATTGAGTTTCAGGTGAATCAGATCGGCAACTTTTTGTGTTTTATTTGGGTCAGCTGTCAGTACAGCAGGGTGATTTGGAAGGTCCTTCTTGATCGCAAAGATGTGTATTAGGATGAGTTTCCTTGGGCGCCCAGCACGTTGACGGTCCACGGGCTCCGTCCGAATGAGTAGTGGCTCATATCCGCGCCAAAGTGGTCGAGAGTTGTTTTTGCATACCAGGCAATGTGCGAGAGCACCATCACGGTCGTCGATTCAACACGATGAAACCGCCATCGGTAAATTCAAATGAGATCCTGATCCATTAAGTCAAAGGTCGTGTGAGGGACGTGGTGCAGGTGACGCGCCTCACGCGATGGTCGGCAGCAAAACGGAAGCAAGCGGCAGACGTGTGCATTTGTTGATTCCTGTGCAAGTTCATGTAAGTTGCTTGCTTTATGGATTTTGTGTTCCTGCGCTAGACCCATTTTTGCCATGGACATGGTTGGTTGGATTACGTCCTCATGTCCGCGCTAGTAGTGTTTGGTGATCCCGCCCGACTCATCGGGGGCAGTGACCGACACCGACACGATCAATATGGCCGTGTCGTGTGCCAGCGGAATATAGCCGAATTATGAATGATTGGTATGTAGTCCCGATGTGCGAGATGAAAGACGATGTTTGAATTATCACGATGGTCACATGCGCAGCAGGGACTGCGCAACGTGGTTGAATTGTTAGATAACCCCAAGGGTGTGATTTTCTATGAGCCAAGGCGGATGATTCGGGTAACTGGCGCGAATATGCCATGCTGTGAGTTTGACTTTAATCAGCGACGCAACTCGTGGAAATCGGAAATAGAAATATGTTGGCCAGGCGGCCAGCTGAATCTGATATTTTTTTTACTCAGGCTAGCGTTAGCTAGGGCCTGGAGAGATCAGAAAGTTCTGTTCGAACTGAGTTGGCCTGCATGTCGATAACGACAACGGTTGCGGGTGGGTAACGTGATGATATTGTGCCTGCCAACTGGTTCTGCGTGGCTAGGAACGTTTGTTTCGAAACAAATGAGCCAGGAGATGAGCTGATATGGGATATGAAATTTAGCTTGCAATGTAGGCCAATGTTAATTATAACGCAGATACCTTGCGAAGCTGGCCAGCAAAGTAGGAAGGCTTCCAAAGTTCTCCATAGAAAAAGCCACGATTCGTTCCAATGGAAGAACGCTGGCAAAATATATGAAATAAACGTTAAGGCGGGATTTTACTAAATTTGGTCGTGTAATTGGATAAATGCGGAATTTGCCGAAAATCTTGACTCCTTACTTGGTCGGTGGCCATGGCGCTGGATAATTCATATTCCTGCGGTTGAGGGTGATCGGTGAATGGAATATGTTCGGCTCGAGTTTCCGGAGTTTCGAGAAGTTCTTTGTGGTGGAAGCGTGCCTAATATGACTAGGAGTGCGGGTGTCCCCTCAAGAGGGAGCGCTTTAGATAAAGGTAAAAGTCAAACGCGAGCGTCTAAAATAATATATAATTGGTGTATTGTGAAATGAAAAGTGCGATGAATCAATGAGGACTGCGCGAGGCGAATAAAGGGGGGTTAAGACTTATCTGATTAATAGAATTCCAAGTAGAAAAATGACGGAGGTGAAAAAGGACACCCCTGTGCCAAGTAGATCTGGGGAATAAGCACATTGGTTAAGCATGGGGTTTCAAGTGGACGTCATCCCTCGGAGTATGGGTAATTGTGAGCATGGGAGCCTCACCCCTTACAACCCAAGAAAGGAGATGATTTGCGAAACATCCACTACACGACAGAAAAGGAAATCATCATCGTTCAACTCGACCACTCATTCTGACCTTCAAGGTGATTTAAAAACATGTTCAGTACGTGAAATCGTCTCCCAGATATTCTTGGCTGCCATGAAAACCTTGCCGCCTCCTTTGTGCCTTACTAAGATCAGAATTTCTACGTAGAACCTTCCACCGCACCTTACAACACAGCCTCGATACTGTCACGCAACTTCATTTATAATCTGCCATTCCCTTCCTCACTTCGAACCTTTCCCGGCCTTCCAAATTGCAGGTTATCTCATGGCGGCAGAAGGTAACATACCTGAGATAGTCACAACAGACCTTTCCTCCAATCATGCAGTAATTCCCTTGTTCGCTTCATCCTCTACAAATCCTCCTCACAGAACACACCCTGATTCTTCCCTTTTGTCCCCCCACCCTCAATCACACCGTCGAGTTTCACTAGACTCTCGCTCACATTCCCCTTCCCCTACCATCGTCTCATCAAACGACGGTGCTTCCCAATTTGTTCCTCCCTCACCCACCCTATCAAATAGCTCTTCAGCTCATTTCGCTACTTCCCTCTCATTAAGGGATAATAAACCAGACGAGCGCAACGGTTATTCTTCCTTGAATCTCCTCACCGCTTCAATGAACAAGCTCTCCGCTCATCGTCGAAAACTTAGTAATGCAACTTTCACAAGCTCTCATGAGGGTCACAGCAGCCTCAACGAAACAGAACCAGACCATGATTATGCCATGGTTCACATTCACCCTGTTAAATCGGATCCCACTACCGCAATGCATTCCCCTACCCCTACACACGTAGACACAGCCTCCGTCATATCCAGGTCCCTACCCGCTAAATCTGACATATCCGTCGACAACATCGTCACACGAACTCCTTCACCCACTCCCGATCCAAATCAGAATCCTTCTGACAGCCACAAATCACTTCAAGTCAACCCCGACGTTCCAAAACTTGACCTCGTACAAGATGACTCGGTTGACCACCATCCATTCAAATTCAAACCGGTCCAGCTCGCCAGTCTTCTAGACCCAAAAAACCTCGATGCTCTCGAGGCTTTGGGCGGTATCAACGGCCTTCTTGACGGCCTAGGAACTCACCCTTCCCGGGGTTTAACTCTACCTCCCACTGCCGGTGCCGGAGTAGGCACTTCCCAAAGGCATGATCGGCAACCTTTGGCCGTTCACGATCATACTGAAGTTCAAGTGACCGACGACCCTCATTCGGCATTAATGGAACATCGCAAGCGTGTATTTGGCGAAAACGTGCTTCCTCAACGAACTAGCAAAAGTCTACTTGCCCTCATGTGGCTTGCCTTGCAGGATAAAGTCCTCGTGCGTATTTACTAAATCGGTCAAACTCAATCTTCAATCCTTTCGTATCACAAGGTCTTGTTATCTATCGCAGCGGTTGTTTCACTCGCACTGGGCTTGTTTCAAGATTTTGGGACACCTCTGCCTGCCGGCCAACCCCCAGTAGATTGGGTGGAAGGTGTTGCCATCATGATCGCGGTCCTTATTGTTGTAAGTTGGCTAAATTTTCTTTTATTATTATCCAATGTTCCATTTTCCATAGGTTGTCATTGGCTCGATAAATGATTGGCAAAAAGAACGGCAATTCAAGGTTCTCAACGAGAAAAAGGAAGAACGTGGGGTCAAAGTCATCCGCAACGGCATCGAACGTCTCATAGATGTGAAAGTAAGCTAGTTTTCATTTTAATTCATCGCCCTGATCTTTTTTTTTTTTTGTGCGCGCACAGGAAGTCGCAGTCGGCGATGTGGCATTATTAGAACCAGGGGAAATTATTCCCTGCGACGGCATCTTCTTAACTGGGTACAACGTCAAGTGTGACGAATCAGCGGCAACTGGCGAGTCGGATGCTATCAAAAAGGCGTCCTATGCAGATTGCCTGGCACTGAAACAGGCACTAAGCGGTGTGCATGCTGACCGTTGCGCCCTCGGAGGGGAGCACTTGTCTACCCACACGGACTGTTTTGTTGTCAGTGGTAGCAGGGTTCTGGAAGGTATCGGTAGCTATGTCGTCGTTGCAGTTGGCACAAAGAGCTTTAACGGCAGAATCATGATGGGTGTGTTTTTCTTTGATCGCCAACACCCCGGTTAACTCCGACTCCATTAGCTCTCAGGACGGAGACCGAGCACACACCGCTTCAATTAAAGCTCAACCTCCTGGCTGAATTGATCGCGAAGATAGGAAGCATTGCCGGCATCATTCTCTTCTCCTCTCTGATGATCAGATTCATCGTGCAACTTGCCACAGGCCAGCCTGTCAGGTAACGGACCTCGGTCATGACATCTGCAGCTTTTCTAATTGGTGCGCTACAGGTCTGCCGACCAGAATGGCATGGCTTTCGTTCAGATTTTGATTATCTCGGTCACATTGGTCGTAGTCGCTGTTCCAGAAGGTGAAGGCTCTACTTTTTACGTTAAATGTACTACGCCTTAACGAGGGTGTTTATAATTAGGACTCCCATTGGCAGTAACTCTCGCTTTGGCATTCGCCACTAAGAGGATGACGAAAGAAAACCTCTTGGTACGCGTTTTGGGCTCCTGCGAGACGATGGGCAACGCCTCCGTCATCTGCACCGACAAGACCGGCACGCTCACTTGCAACGTCATGTCCGTAGTCGCAGGCTCCATCGGGATCCACGCTAAATTCGTGCGCAAACTCCAACACAACCAAGCTCGCACAAACGCGAATAGAAGCCGAAGTCCACACAGGAACTCTGATTCGGAACCTCCCCGCGATGATTTCAGCATCGACCAATCGATGCTTAGTACCGTTCTGAGCCGACCGCTTCTTTCGCTATTTAATGCCGCTATTGCTGTGAACTCTACCGCATTTGAGGATGTGGAGAAGGAGAGTGGGCAGCGCTTGTTCATGGGGAGTAAGACAGAGACGGCGCTTTTGACCTTTGCCAAGGAGCTTGGGTGGCCGGATTATAAGGAGACAAGGGACGCGGCGAAGATCGTGCAGATGATTCCGTTTTCTAGCGATCGCAAGGCTATGGGCGTGGTGGTCAAGACCGAGCATGGATATCGCTTCCACGTCAAGGGCGCTAGCGAGATTCTGACAAAGCTGTGCACCAGCCATGTCGTTGTAGACCAGCATGGAAGCACTCGCTCTAATTCTGACGACGTCGAGATAGCGAAGATCGATAGCGTCTCGGAAGAGAACATATCTAGGACTATCATTTTCTACGCGAATCAGACTCTGCGGACGATAGCCCTGTGCTATAAGGACTTCCCGTCTTGGCCACCACCAGGGATCCAAGCCACGGCAATTGACGAAGTAGGTATACTTTCAGTGATATGTTGACATGCTCATGGGGTTCTAGGTGCCATACGACGTCATCGCTCGAGACTTGACATTGATCGGAATCGTCGGGATCGAAGATCCACTCAGGGATGGTGTTCGAGAAGCAGTGGCTGATTGTCGCAAAGCTGGTGTCGCTGTGAAGATGTGTACGGGTGATAATGTGCTGACGGCGCGTTCGATTGCCACGCAGTGTGGGATATATACGGCTGGCGGTGTCATCATGGAAGGACCCGTTTTTCGCCAGCTCGATGAATCCCAGATGCTCGAGATCGTTCCTCGACTCCAGGTTCTTGCTCGTTCGTCGCCTGAAGACAAGAAGACACTGGTGGAGAAGCTTCGCGCACTCGGGGAGATTGTGGCCGTCACTGGCGATGGCACGAATGACGGTCCCGCTCTCAAGACGGCGAACGTAGGATTCTCCATGGGTATAGCAGGGACAGAAGTGGCCAAAGAGGCGTCCGACATCATTCTGATGGACGACAACTTTTCTTCCATCGTCAAGGCGATCGTATGGGGCCGTTGCGTGAACGACGCAGTCCGTAAATTCCTACAGTTCCAGATTTCCACCAACGTCACCGCCGTGGTGATCACTTCCGTAACCGCCATCGCTTCAAGTGCTGAAACGTCGGCGCTGTCGGCTGTTCAGTTGTTGTGGATCAATATCATCATGGATACATTCGCTGCACTTGCACTTGCCACGGACCCTGCATCACCGGTGTTACTGGACAGGGAGCCTGATAGGCAGACGGCGCCGCTTTTCACTGTGGACATGTACAAGCAGATTCTAGTGCAATCCATCTACCAGATCATTGTCATCTTGCTATTCCACTTCCTTGGCATCCAGATCCTGGGCTTTGCGGATACGTCGGGGAATGACACCATTGTACAGACGCTGGTCTTCAACGCGTTTGTTTTCGCACAGATATTCAACTCGCTGAATTCGCGAAGGCTAGATCGGAAGCTCAACATCTTTGAAGGCATGCTGAACAATTGGTACTTCATGGCTATTACCTTCATCGGTGAGTCGAGTTATGTTATGTTTGGACTAACCTCACGGCTGGTTTGCAGAGATCGCTGTGCAAGTGGTCATCGTGTTCATCGGGGGCGCCGCATTCCAGGTGACGCCTATTGCAGGTCGTGAATGGGGCATTTCACTCGCCCTTGGCTTTGTATCCATTCCCCTCGGCGCAATCATCCGCCTGCTGCCCAACGAACCCTTTGAACGCCTCTTCATCTTCATGCGCTTACTGCCCAAACGCCAAAGCGATCTTCCTAAAGTTCGCTCAGATGTTGAATGGAACTCTGCGATTGAACTTGTGCGTGATAATCTCGCCACGTTCGCTAACCTGCGGGGCGGGCGACTTCGTTCGTCTTCATTCGTCGTGAAGAGTCGTCAGGCTAGACTACACGATGATAAGCGTGTCCCTCTGTATGTGCTAATGTTTGGTTTGGGAGATGGTATCCTTAATTTTTTCTAGCCCTTCATTGATGACTATGGTCCCGACGCTTATTGCATCGTCTATCGGAGCTGGCTGGGCACCACAATCACGCGGTACTCTATCAGACCCTGCCCGTTATGATCCCTCAAAGTCCTCTGCTGCCCTCTGGGAAGGCAGGCTCCAAATTCACCCCGATACGAAGCCAGATGATGCACTGTTTCGCACAAAATGGGGTCGCGGCAACCGTCCACCCGCGGCATAGTTGTGTTGGACATTGTTTGTTTGTTTGTTTTACACGGACTAATGGAGGATCCCTACCACTTGGAGGGGAGGGGTCTTGCCATGCGGTGTCGTTATCCATTATTCCAATATCTATATCAGGCGACCAACCACAGTCATAAACGCACAAGCGCTTGCAGAATGCCGTCGTAATCGCATCTATTCGAATCCGCTGGTCGATCGTTCTGATGGAAGGAGCCACAGGTGACAGGATCACGGCCATCGCCACGACTGGGAAGCGTGGTGCATATGTACTCCACTTATCCCAATCATATCATAATCTACCCCTGCCCTTTCACGTTTCGCTCCCACACTTATTGGCCAAACATGCATATGGCACGCATATGGTGGTTTTTTTACGCATTCTTCACATTTGCCGACCAAACAATGTTACGGTATCCCCCCTTCACTCAAAACACTTTTCTTGACGATACCATCATGACTAGATTTATCCACATTCCTACTGTATCCATACTATTATTCTTATTATAAAACACATCCCTTTGCCAATAATTCTATAACAAATGATATATTTTTTAACAAATGTCATGACTTGTTTCATATCAAGCCGCAAGAGCAATGTGAAGATTTAGAACAAGTGGGCTGTCCATGTCAGGTACAATAGTGTTCCCTATGCTGGTATTAAGTCGGGGCCCTTGTGCTCTTAATGAGGGAAAAGTGTACAACCGGTCACTGTTCTAGCCCATGCACAGCCTGACAGCCGTCTTGAACCATCGTAATAAGTGCCGGGTTAAGTGAAGATGAGTCCAATGACGCATACGCCGCGCCAGGGTACAAGCCAGATTAATGCATACTCCTCATATGTACGGTTGCCAAGGATTGAACAATTAATCCGTCAAATGCGCTGGATACAGCCGCGGCCATAAAACTCAAGTTGATAGATTTGGAATTGTTTGGAAGTTCTGTGCAGAAGCGACCCACGCCGACGTGCCTGGAGTTGGTGGCAGACTGCGATATATCGACTAGATAGGTTTAGCTGGGTGCCAGATCTCCTGGGAGTACATACATGCGTGAAGCGTGGTCTTATTTTGACCTTTTGATCACAAAGAACTTTTGACAAGCGTCAGATTACAAGAGGAAGCGTTGCTAGTATTCCCATGGGACCCATGATAGCATTCGGAACTTGGGCCGTTGGACGTGACAGTTTTTGGGCACGATGCAATGTATCTTGTGAGCGTGTGTATAGGGGCGTAACTGTGAAGAAAAATGCAAGTCACTGTACAGTGACAACATTCGAATCCTGTGCTGTGTTCATAAAAAATCAGGTACGTGCATCGTTGACACCACAAAACTGAGTACTGAGAACGCCGTTTTGTGCGTGTTGCGCATCATGATGAAAACCTGTCATCGGAGTGGCTCAACAACCCCACATGACGAGGAAATCGTGCTATTAACACGCGGTGGCATTCAACGCCAGACACGGACGCTCTCAAAGGTATGTTTGTTTTTGGCTGTCCTGCCCAACTGCGTTATGATCGAGAGCTCGCAGGCCGTCTCAGTGCTGGCTCACAGGCAGACTCGGAGCTAGGTCTCTAGATCAAAAACGTTGGTAGAGCTGTGTATGGTCCGTGATCATTGTAAATGAGCAAGACTGACCCGTTCGACCTTGCAGCACTCAGCTGCAGAGTTGTAATTCTGAGCCCATAATACCATTGAAGGACCAGGATCCGAGAAATCGATCGGCGGCAGCCTACGTCGTGGTTTCTGATCGAGGAAGCACTTCAAGTTGGTGCTTGAAAACCCCGAGGATTGCTGTACTCTCCCCGAGGTAATGCAAATAGTCAAGATTGGCACGAGCGCGTAGTAGGACTGCCGCGGACGACGGAAGCGAGAGAACCTTTCGATTCATGGTGGTGGCGACGCAAACTTGGGTTATGTCCACTTCCAATACGAACACATGGCATACCAGCCTGAGCGACGAAGATCGTTGGTTCTTACTTAAAATTTCTAAAAGCTTAACCAATGTTGAAATATCTTATCCGATATCTTAGCCAGTCTGCTTCATTCATTTGCGGCACAGTCACTCGCAGTTTTTCAGACAAGTAGCCGCTGGCGTCAAGGAACTTTACATGCGGAATTAGAAAACTTTTGAAAATGACGGATTATTTGTCGTCACGCTAGTAATGGCGGATTATCTGTTGTCGTGTCAACACCATGCAATAGTTATCTAAAGTTCTAGTTAGCTCAGAGTCCATGTTCGTATACCCCGACTTCATACGAGAGAGCCTATACTGGATCACAAAGTAGCGAACACAGCCGGTAACAAACAGAAAGGTAGGGAGTGGTGTCACGGAGATTGTTGTGTTCTCTACGGATTAAGGACGGTGCGAGGGGAGACGGGAGCGCAGGTTAAGCGTACCAAAGACGAGCTTTTCCCAGGGCTCAAGCACAGATATTCCGAATGCAGTCTCGATTATGATTTTGTAACGTCATACACGGTTGCAAAAGACTGGTCGCGTCCGAGAGGGCGGGCATATGTGGCATGCTGGCAATACATACTACCATGGACTAATGAGGTAAACACCGTGGCTGCTTGCGTGGTTGATTAATGGGCCTTTTGTTTACCCAACGCCGACGAGAGAAAAAAAAATCCTGCGGGCTAGAAAGAGAAGGAAGCTATCTTGCAGTCCAATAACTTGGAGTAGGCCCCATGTAGTCACATGGCTACTGGAATAATTCGGATGCGCACCAAAAGTCTGTTCAGCAACAAGAATTTGTCGTAGCCATGCATGAGTATACACAAAGGAGGTATACGTAGGAGAGTGAGTGATATGGAAGGTATGAATCTAGATAGATAGCATAGGACAAAATCTAAGGATACAAATGTGTCGGTAGGTAAGCATGAAGGCAGATGAAACACTCGCACCTCCATGAATGGAAGATTAGGCACGTACTATAACTCTTTCAGCCCAGGCGTCTCTACCCATGAGCGAAACACGTCTCCTTCCTGACCCCAGAGATAATATATGGCGCGTCGTTGCATGACCATGACATGTTGTGGCAAGTATTGGAACAGTCCAATCATCACCAACATGGCCAAAAGCGAAAATATGATCACTGCGGATGGATTAGCGAATTATGACATGAGAAGATAGGACTCACAGCAGAGAATTTTCTCCCAAGGCTCAAGCATAGACAGTGCCAAAGTCGACTCGAACTTGACTCTTTGGCGCCATAAGTAGTCCTTCATCATGGCGAAAAATAGTTAGGGAGTGATTATAGTTAAAGAGCAGGTAAAGCAAGGGTAGAAGATGGTTCCACAAAAGAAAACGAGTGCCTTAAGTTAAGTTATAAGTACCCTTCGAGTTAGCCCAATTAACGTGGCCGGAGAAGGCGGAAAGTGGCGGAAATCGAAGTCGTGATTTCTTAGCACGTGATGTGCTACGAGTCTCGGTTCAACTTGTCACCGCTGCATCGCACGTTTGTTGGCACGATGGGATAAGCTTGCTCTTCGAGCGAGATTTCTTTCGCTGCAAGCAAACTGCAGGATACCTGTTGCGGACGCCGTTGGCCATCGCAAGTTAGGGAACGTAGACAATAAGTTAATGTCGTTCTCGTGTGCCGACAGTAGGCGCCAGTACTAGTACCAATACGGATCAACTCGAGATTATCTTGACCATTATGTTCAGCTGGGGTGTTATCTCCGTTTCATTTTCTGCAATGATTCCACTTATAGTCTCTACCATATATATTCTGATGTCAAGAAATGGATCATAGTTTTGTACATAGTGTAAGAGCTACATAGAAGTACATAGGTGTGATTTGTGGTGGGGCGGCGGGGCTATCGAATGTATCACCATTCGTCCAATTTGGATTGTACCAGTGAGTCGAGAAAATAAAGTTACGCGAGCGGGTAGTCTATAAGACAATGATAGAAGAATAAAGTACGAGGCGTAATACAGCTAAACAGTAGCTTCAATCTCGAGCAGTTCCTATGAAAATCAGCGTGAGTTTTGCAAGGGCTCCATCAAATGCGAACAGACATACTTGACAGGCAAACGTCACGCCCCTTGTGCCTCAATACAGAAACGTAAAGTATCCCACATCGCATCTGCCAATCAAAAACCTTAGGCTATAGCTCCTTCACACTGGCTGCCGCGTGATCCATCCAGTGATTGAGCACCCGCTCGTCGCCCCAGAGATAGTATGCAATGCGAGGTAGTAGTGAGACCAACTGACTGGGTATTACCCGAGAGAGGCCAGTGAAGAATAGGAAGGTGAGTAGAGACATGACGATCACTGTATGTGCATGGTCGTCAAGAGTGGTTAGAGGATGGAGTATGCGATACTCACCGAAAACCAGTTTCTCCCAAGGTTCCAGACCACATATGGCGAAAGTGGCCTCAAACATTGTCCATTGCTTCCATGCGTAGGCGCTGAGTGAGTTGCATCGAAATCCAGTAGTATCCCTGGCCAGCGGGGGCGGCTTAAAGGGGCGAGCCATATGGCGGTATTGTATGAGAAGGAGAGAAAGGGTACTACAATATTAACGATATGGTGAGATACCTCAATGATCAAATATATACGTGAATTCGTTGAATATATGGTTTATTTTTATCGGTGGGATGAATCTCGGCCATCATCATCGTGGTAACCAACCAGGTGTGCCATATTAAAAATTCCCGTCTGTCGCAGTTCACATGCACACAGCTCATTGCAACAGCAGACTCAACCATCCAATGGCCGCAAACCACGACTACAGATCAGTGATGTACATGGCAAAAGGTTCACAAGTACTGACACCTTCAACAGCTGTCAGGCTATCCTCTGTTGTTGTCGACATGCTTCTGGGGCTTCGACACAGCGACCGTCTCGTCTAGCTAGTTGTCCGAGGAGACATCGTGCCCTAGGTCTAGCCTTTCGAAGTTCACTTCTTTCGAACTCCGACGCAGTACTATTAGTGCTTCATGCATTGCTGGATCGTTAAACATCAAGCAGTCACCATTACGTCGAGCGCCACAGCGGCCACACATGATGCATCACGATGACGGGACGCTAGAACAGGCTGAAGCCATCCACATGGATGAGGAGATAATTGGCGATCGAAAAGAAATCATACCCAGCAAAGTTTCAGTGCGCAAAAAGGACTCGGTGAACGTCAAGGTTACCAAGTCGACCGCCCACCTCCTGGCGTTAGTAGCATATCTCCCTCAGCTTCAGCTTCAGCGCTCACCCATCTTTATAGAAATCGCTTTGGGGGGATTCCAGGAGTACCGGTTGGGGCTAAATGGGAGAGTCGGTGTGTGTTTTTATTCTCGTTTTATATTTGGCGCCAGCCGGATTCATTTATTTGTGTCTTCGCAGCCAAGATTGTTCTAATGCTGGCGTCCACCGTCCTTTTATGGCTGGTATATGTGGCACCAAAAAAACCGGCGCCTTTTCAATCGTCGTTTCGTGTCACTACAAAGATGACAAAGATTCCGGCGATACAATGTAAGCATATAACACAGCGCTTCATTTCGAAGTGTGACCACCATATTCTGGTCCTTATGTGCATATAGCTACTATACAGGTACAGGTGCGTATTCACAACCTAGGTTCCACTATCGTATGCCAACCTGCTAGCGTCAGGGGGTCGCAAGCGGTGGTCTGATGGCTTTCCCCGGAAGCGTGTAGGTCGTTTTCTTGCTCAATTACCATAATTATTCATTTAAAATTTCCAAGCTCCGGTTAGGCCCACAGGTTTTTGATCAGCAATGGTCGGATCCAGGAAATGAAGCACTTGTCGTGAGTTTTTTGTCTTTGGGTGTGAGGTCCCAAAATGACTGCAGAACAGAAATCGCGTGACACAGGCAACCCCGTGCGTGTCGTCCGGAGCCATAAAGCACTTTCCGAATTTGCGCCTGCCGAAGGCTATCGCTATGATGGTCTGTACACTGTTGAAAGTGTAATGTCATTTCACATGTCTATGGAGGATGCCCCACCACTGATACTCAAACTTCAAAGGCATGGAAAGAGAAAAATCCTCAAGGTCTGGATATCTGTCGCTATAGGCTAGAGGTAAGTTGCATTTCAAATCTTAGGTCTCCGATTAGACTGATGATGTTGATGATGTGTTGACAGAGGGTTCCAGGTCAACCTCCCCTACTCCGTCGCTCGCTTGGAAATGCCGATCATGAGCTATCTCCCACCTCCGTAGCTACGTCAGATACTGTCATCTCGCCCTCGCGTACGTTGATCGGCCGTAAGCGCAAGACTCAATCATCTGCACGCCAAGATGATTCCACGATCTATGCCGATGCGGCGTCTAGGAAGCGCAAACTCGCCGACCAAGCGCCGCCCAAACCTTCACCATCTGTCATGCAGCTACATGTTTCAGCGCCAGTCCTGGTGACTTTTGACACCCCGCTGCAACAGTACAAGAAACGCCAACAATTCTATAAAACGCGTTCTTTCATACAGACGCCCGTGAAGAAGCAAACTCTGCCCCTTGTAAAACATAGCATGTGGCTCAGCCAATCCCAGCCCAGTAGCTCCCTGGCGAGGCCTATGCAGAACATCTCCTATGACGAGAGTATCGAAGATGCTGATAAATCACTCGATGACGAAGATGACGAAGATGTACTACTCGAAGACCTGGAAACCACAGCTTCCCCATTCCCATCCTCCTTATGCCCCTCGCCCCTCTGAGCGAGTCACTTACAGTTGTCAAATACCCCAGTGTATTCCGGCTGCTCTGCTTTTTTGCTTTCAAGACCTCAAATTCATGTTTCTCATTCACATCGCCTTTCTGATAGGATCAGTCACGCATGTACAGTACCCATTTTTTTTTCTGTTTTCTTGCTTTGAGGATCATTTGTAATGTCTGTCTGCTGATACTGCTCTGCTAGGTCTACGTTTAGTTAAACTTGTGTCTGTAGCCCCATACTTGCGCAATTCAGAATTTCACGCAGAATTACGTGGCAATCCAAGGATGCAACTTAGTCTCACAGGAGCAGATACAAGTCGATGTCTGCGTTGTCGACACATCATTATTCGTTGGTGCAGTTGAACCTTGAGCTTGGCCAGGATCAGGGTTTCGAACTCCGACTCAGAAGCAGTCTATGTATAAGAGCCTCGTGGTCGGCCTTGTGTGCTTAGCTCCATCATCTTGACAGTCGTTGACGACAGAGTACTCAAGAAGGACTCAGACGCCAAGACATTAAACAGTGTTCGGGACGAGAATATGAAAGAAGAAACATCCAGCAAAAGGCACAAAAGGCGCAGGGTACTAAGTGGGAACACCCCTGCCAGGCCGGTGTTAGCAATGCAGTCTCTCTCTCTAACACCACACTGTTTACACACTTTCTTTGCAGGCACCACTTCGGGGAATATCCTGGAGCGCCTTTTGGGACAACATGGAGGGATCGGTGCGTACTCTTGATTTGCATATAATACCATCAATCACCTGATCTGTAACAGCGTAGAGTGTTTTGATGCCGGCGTGCACGGCCAAGTGGAGCCTGGTATACATGGCATCAAGGAAATGGGCGCCTTCTCCATCGTCGTATCGGGTCAATACAAATATGACAAGGATTACGGGGACACGATGTAAGCACCCATCGGCGCTTATTTTCGAGCCGCATCGGTAATCTAACCCATTCATATAGTTTATATACAGGTTCAGGTGGGTATTTACAACCCGGGCTACAAGATTGTATGCAGACTTAGTATCGCCAGGGGGTTGCAAACTCCCTGATGGTGTAAGTTGCCTTTCTCGTCTTGCTTGACTATCGACTAAAATTTCCAAGATGCGCGAGCAGACACGCGACCAGGAATGGTCGGATTCTGGAAACGAAGCACTTCGTGTGAGTTCTGTGTCGGATGGATGCGAGGACGGCAGATGACGGTACAGTAGAAATCTTCCGAAACAAGAATACCCGTACGCGTCATTCGGGGCTACGAGCTCGAGTCTGAATTTGCGCCATGGGAAGGCTTTCGGTATGATGGCTTGTACATCTGTAAACGTGTAGCATCATTTTTAATATCTACATCTATCTGCGAGCACTAATACTTTGTCTTCAAAGGCGTGGAGAGAGAAGGAGAGAGACGGTTATCATAAAATCTGTCGTTACATTATGGAGGCAAGTCTCCTTGATGATCATGCTTTGATTAGACTGACCAGTGTCAAAAGAGAGTTCCAGGCCAACCACCCTTACGCCGTCGTTCAACGACTTATGGCTTTTACAAGCCGTCACCAGGCTCCCAAGCCACCGTGAAGCCGCCAGGGCCGGCTCCAGTAAATGGACGCCAAAGAATCAGGCAGCGGCTACAGGCCTCGATCAATAACGATCTCACTTGGATGGGAATGAGCCCTGGGTCTTCGTAAAAGGATCTACCGTCGAGCTCACTTGCAAACATGGTGTGCGAGAGGCCCTCTTGCGCCTATCACGCCCAAGCCCAGACCCAACGAATTCAAGGAAATGAGGGACTCGTACGATAGCCCAGGTGGAAAGTGCGATATCGCCCTGATGACGATGAAATGCGGATATGTTCTGGTGGAAGAAGATGAGGCAGAGATGTAATATTTGAGTTGAATATAGTACTACCAACAAACCCTATGATATACAGTCACAACTTTTTATGCACTACCTTCCAACTTGACCCGTAGATGACCCTCAGAATATGTACCCGAGCAGCGGACAAAATTGAGCATGACTACGTACCAAGTCTCCGACCTGCATTCGAATGCCACCATTCCAACAATGGTAGAGAAAAACATTGATGCAAAAAGGAGCAGGCACCTTGCTTGCACGTCCATACGGACAGCCGCGACAGCGCTTAAACGACGAGCTTTGCAAAAATCATTAGCCACGATGTGGAAGGACGAAATGGTTGGCTCTGGAAGCAATTCGAGTATTCGAGTATGTGCGCGGGTATACAAGTTATGCATCATGATTGCATGATATGGGATGAGCGAGAGCGTCGCAAAAGACTGGCAAATTGATGATGACCGTCGGTGTACTCAGGAGATGTACAGCATATAGAAAGCCAGAACGAGTCCAGCGTACGTGCGGTGAAGCAGAATTTGACTAAAACATTGGTCTAGTACTCGTTCAAGTTGCATTTAGCTTAGCCTCGGCTATCATTGTACGAGAATTAGTGCTTAAATCAACGACGGGAGGTGTGGGGGACAAGCAGCATGCACTCGATTTTTCTCGTGCTGGTGCGTTCCTCTGCGTGGTATGAGGCGGAATTCGAGCATGCGACAAGAAAATGTTATATGTCAGGTGGAATTGATATTCGAGAAGACAAATAGGAACATGCGGGTTAAGCCTGACGATATAGGCGCGTCAACTACTGCTGAGGGACGTCTATGTAGGTTGATATCTGCGCCGTTTCATCTGCCAGAGAGGCGATTTCGAACCAATTGGAAAGGGCAGGGTCATGATGGCGTATCATGGACATCTAGATGTATGGGGCAGGGTAAAGATAAAAATGGTCACGATCCGTGTGATCGTGATGTGATGATGAAGGGTGAGGCGTTGTACAGACAACGGAGAATATTGAGGCGATCAAAAAAGTACCAGATGAGACATTAGCGTGTAACGACGTGAGCACGAATTGGTGGGCTGCCAAAGAAACCTCAGGCCCGAGGTACCCGATGGAACTTGAGTGGCTGACGAACAGGACGTTGGGTAGGATCAGCCTAGAATACATAAGCTTGAATGCAACAAGAACTGTCGATGAAAGTGCCACGTACGACGAGCGAGTACCGACTGGTCGCGCTAGTACAAAAGAAGGTCATAGAGGCTACTAAGCTTCTCTTAGTAGTATCGCAGAAACATCTCATGCATGTCAAAGTATGCAGCCAGTAACCTAGTAGCAGGTTTCCATCCTGATACGCAGTTCACTAACTCTGCATGGTAGAGGGTGAACTGATGAACTGATTATTGCCGAGGTTCACAATTGCGCTGTATCGTCATTCGATGGCTTCAAGCGCTTTGCGAGAGTGTGGGGACTCGTGACCAGTCTGACGTACGGAGCCTAGAGAGTGTGGGCATTCGAAAATGTTGCATGACCAGGTGACTGGCCTCTTCAACAAATCCAATCACTTATTACCCACGGTTATTCCAAATTCCAATCCACTACAATTGGATTTTCCATCTGAGCCAGGCCACCCGGGATGTGCTACATGCTCTTTGAGAGTGACGACAGGCGAGCCTGTCTTCAACAGCGGGACGGATTGCGCTACAGGGTGCTACAGTGTGCTTTGTAGCACTCTGTAGCAAATTATGTTTCCCTGATGTTTGCATTCGAGATTTGACTTTGGACAGCAGTCGAGGACTTTGAGTCCTTGTACTCACAATAATTGGCATGGTCACGTCTTGCGCGTAGACAACGGCGCAATGACATTGAAAATGTACCCTGTTTTGATTGATGCGAGGTCTGATTGTTTATTCGGTCTCTGCTCTTGCATTTGAGGGATTGACCCGGCGACTGGCCGTATACGCCCTATCAATTTCGCGTTGATCTTGCCTGTGTCGATATCCCATAACATCACGGCACCGACACTTCCGCCAACTTCTTTCTTACCGTCCGGAGACAATGTCATGGTCTGCACTTCACTATCTCCGTTCTGTGAATCCTCTTCTATGATCTGTTTGCCACTCTTCAATGCCCGAGCTGTCTGTTGAACTCAGTCATTATTCGCTCACCGTCTGGCAGATGTATGGCGCCAAAAACCAGATTGGTGTGTCCTTCAAATTCATGGTTGGCGTTATCGCTGATGTCTCCTGCTTCACAACGACGAGTGAAGACATAATCAACTATTAGGCGCAGCTCCGTTCTAGCTTTCACTTAACAAAGTCCCAAACCATCACTTACTACGATGTGTTTCGCAATGAGTGTTTAGGTCAAGTCGGTGTCAAGTTCGCTGCCCGCACATGCGACATCCTCGTGATTATTTCACAGCGTATCATCTCCGACTCTGGTGCGTAAGATGTACATTTGACCGTGCTTGAACTCACTACAGTTTCCCAATCGCTGGTATCAGTCACCATGATATTCTATCTTTCTTCATAAACTCTCGAATAGCACCACCTTTACGGTATAGCTTTGGTGGCGGATCGCCGTTGTTCCAAACAGTCTGGTTTACTGGTGGCTAAGCGCCGATGTCTTGCAGATAGGCTTGCCATTCATCGAGACAACAACACCTTCAGTTAGAGAATGCAGCTGCTGAAGGTCAATTTTGGATTATAGCTCGTCCGTGCTCGCGCTCTACCATGTAGATGTCGCCGATTTTGATCGGAATGAATATGTGATTATGATCATCATCATATAATGTAAACTCTATGAAGACAGAAGGTGCGTCGAGACTGATAGGGGCTTATTCACCGCATTTCCCACTATGTAAGGATACAGCGCCCTCCCGAATACCTTGGACTTGACCCTTTCGAAGTTACGGCTTTCGAACTCCGACATAGCAGTCTATAAGTACTACACTGTCGACTTATCTCCATCGTCTCGACAATCGCCGACAGCACAATAAACAACGTTCGCACTTAGAAAGACTTGGAAGTGAAGACATCATATAGTGTTTGGGACAAAATAATTGAGGATTCAACAGAAATGTCTAGCCCAAAGGACAGGCCGGCGTAAGTCTCTCAGTGTTCCTCAGCTACATTTGTTCACGTCCTGTCTTTGCAGGCAGCGCTTCGGGGAAATTCCGGGAGCACCTATCGGGACGACATGGAAGAATCGGTGCTTAGTCTTGATTTTCATCTGATGACCTCAGTTACCTCATCTGTCTATCTGTTCACAGCAGAGAATGTTTTGACGCCGGCGTGCATCGCCAACTTGAGCCTGGTATAAGCGGCACTGAAGCAACTGGCGCCTTCTCAATCGTCGTTTCGGGTCAATACATAGATGACAAGGACGAAGGGGACACGATGTAAGCGCTTATTTTTGAGCCGGATCGGTAATCTGATCTGTGTATATAGCATATATACAGGTTCAGGTGTGTATTCACAATCCGAGTTACGAGATTGTATGCCGACTCAGAATCATCAGGGGGTCACATACCCAGTGATAATGTAAGTTGTCATTGTGCGTTATAGCTTGATTACTAATCAAGATTTTCAAGACGCGCGAGCAGGTTCGCGACCAGGAATGGTCGGATCTTGGAAACGAAGCACTTCGTGTAAGTTTCATGTTGGATGGATGCGAGGATGGGTAATGATGGTACAACAGAAATCTTCTCAAACAGGCAAACCCGTACGCGTCATTCGGGGCTCTGACCTTGGTTCTGAATTTGCGCCATGGGAAGGTTATCGGTATGATGGCTTGTATATCTGTAAACGTGTAACATTATTTTTAATATCTACATACATTCATCGAGCACTGATACTTTGTCTTCAAAGGCATGGAAAGAGAAAAATAGAGATGGTTATTACGACATCTGTCGTTACATTATGGAGGCAAGTCTCCCTGATGATGATCAGGCTTTGACTAGACTGACCAGTGTCAAAGAGAGTTCCAGGTCAACCACCCTTACGCCGTCGTTCAGCGGCTAGCGGCGTTTACAAGCTACTGCCAGGCTCCGAAATCGTGCAGCCGCCAGCGCCAACGCCAACGCCGGCCCCAGGAACTGGACGCCATGGAATCAGGCAGCAGATCCAGGCCTCCCTTATTAATGATCATTCTTGGCTGGCTGATCAATAAGCAGTTGATTTGTTATGCGAGTGCCACCCTTCATGCCATGGAATCAGCTACTATGTTACAGTCCGTCCAGCACACAGTTACAGCAGTTTGTAAAAGTATACAGAATGGAAATGTCATCTTTCTGACTCAGGGAGCCATGTAAGCACCTCGCAACTGGCTCTCGCAGACCACAACCCAGAAGGATGGGTGCAATGCTTGACACTTAACAGGAGTTAGGGATCAACAGAAATTGGTTCTTTGTGACCAGAAGATTGTGCGATAGTGATACATCGATAATAACTGCCTAATGTGACCATAACAATTTGCACCCGCCGTCGAGGACAGAGACAACCTCAAGCTTAGACTCTAGCTGCACTAATGGTTTGAAAAGAGTCGAGACTCCAAGACACGCTCGAGACATACCTTCAATAACACCTGTACATCGAGCAACGTAAATGCATCATCCAAAACCAAGCCATGGACAATTAATTACCTTGGGCGTCACGGGATTCATCAGCAACAATGTCTGCGACAATGCGCATCTTGTTAGACAAGATCCAAATAATGCAAACACGCCGACATACGTTAAAGTGCTTTATCGAGGGGGCTTGTCTTGACGAAAGGGTACTTGACATCGACATCACGCTTGGGGGGGCCCTGTTGGTGGGGGGCGACATCGCGCTTGGGGGGACCCTGTTGGTGGGGGGCGACATCGCGCTTGGGGGGACCCTGTTGGTGAGGGGCAACGTCGCGCTTGGGGGGACCCTCTTTGGAAGGCTCCTCTACTTCAGGCTTGGGGGGGCCTTGTTGGTGGGGCGCAACATCACGCTTGGGGGGGCCCTGTTGGTGGGGGCGCAACATCACGCTTGGGGGGGCCCTGTTGGTGGGGGGCGACATCGCGCTTGGGAGGACCCTGTTGGTGAGGGGCAACGTCGCGCTTGGGGGGACCCTCTTTGGAAGGCTCCTCTACTTCAGGCTTGGGGGGGCCTTGTTGGTGGGGCGCAACATCACGCTTGGGGGGGCCCTGTTGGTGGGGGGCGACATCGCGCTTGGGAGGACCCTGTTGGTGAGGGGCAACGTCGCGCTTGGGGGGACCCTCTTTGGAAGGCTCCTCTACTTCAGGCTTGGGGGGGCCTTGTTGGTGGGGCGCAACATCACGCTTGGGGGGGCCCTGTTGGTGGGGGGCGACATCGCGCTTGGGAGGACCCTGTTGGTGAGGGGCAACGTCGCGCTTGGGGGGACCCTCTTTGGAAGGCTCCTCTACTTCAGGCTTGGGGGGGCCTTGTTGGTGGGGCGCAACATCACGCTTGGGGGGGCCCTGTTGGTGAGGCGCAACATCACGCTTGGGGGGGCCCTGTTGGTGGGGGGCGACATCGCGCTTGGGGGGACCCTCTTTGGAAGGCTCCTCTACTTCAGGCTTGGGGGGGCCTTGTTGGTGGGGCGCAACATCACGCTTGGGGGGGCCCTGTTGGTGGGGGGTGACATCGCGCTTGGGGGGACCCTGTTGGTGAGGGGCAACGTCGCGCTTGGGGGGACCCTCTTTGGAAGGCTCCTCTACTTCAGGCTTGGGGGGGCCTTGTTGATGGGGCGCAACATCACGCTTGGGGGGGCCCTGTTGGTGGGGAGCGACATCGCGCTTGGGGGGACCCTGTTGGTGAGGGGCAACGTCGCGCTTGGGGGGACCCTCTTTGGAAGGCTCCTCTACTTCAGGCTTGGGGGGGCCTTGTTGATGGGGCGCAACATCACGCTTGGGGGGGCCCTGTTGGTGGGGGGCGACATCGCGCTTGGGGGGACCCTCTTTGGAAGGCTCCTCTACTTCAGGCTTGGGGGGGCCTTGTTGGTGGGGCGCAACATCACGCTTGGGGGGGCCCTGTTGGTGGGGGGCGACATCGCGCTCGGCAACTTTATCTGAATGGTTTTAACATCAGACATGGTAAAGATAGAATGAGCACGCTAGAGCTTACACGCCACATTCTTACGCCGGGCCCCTTGTGGATCTTCACGCTTGGGGGGGGCCTGTTGGTGGGGCGCAACATCGCGCTTGGGGGGACCCTCTTTTGAAGGCTCCTCGGCAACAAGATCTGAATGGTTTTGACATCAGACATAGTAAAGATATAATGAGCACGCTAGAGCTTACACGCGAACTTCTTTTCTGTGCGCATCTCGATGTCTATGTCATCAATCAGGTAAGTAGTCTACAACAAAATGAGGCCAGTACTGAAGCCTCACCTTTGGTGACGGGAGACGCCGTCGTCACCTGTAACAAAGCGATGGCAATTAAAACAAAAGATAAAGTGAGCTTCATGATGGTTAGATGTAAGCAGCTGGATGATGTTGAGTATACAATTGATGCACCTTTATAGCTTTGGGTAGCTCGATTATCTCAGACTCGCATGCAGAAAAACCTTCATCCCATGATTGTTTCGAAGCGCATATTACGTGCTCAGGAAAAGCCTGAGCTTTCTTCCGTTCACAATCTGCTCGTTCGATGCGCCATGATGAGGCGAGAAGGTCTGCAGCCAGGGAGGCCCGTAGGGTGGCGCTTAATTCCTCAGCCGAAATTTTCTTCCGTTAGTTGGCTGACGCCGAAGAAGGGGCTTGGGTGAGGCCAGATTCATAGTGCGCCGTGGAGATGTAGCTCGGATGCCATCATAATGTTCAACAATTGTCGGTTTATTCCCGTGGATTGATCAAAAAGAACCACAGACTCGCGTGTCATGCTGAGCGATAGCTTAAGTAAATCTCCATGACCTGAAGCGACTTACCACTGAAGTCATGTTTATTGCTCCAGGAGTCGATGTTCTGCACCGGTCATCCGAATTCAGCTCTTGCTTAGTGCTAACAGTGTCGTCTCTTGCGGCCAGCAGGTCCTACTATGTAGTATGGCAAACCTCACACTGGGTGAGTACGACTGCATACGTTTGAAGTGCCAGACGTAAGTTTCGACCTGGGATAGCAAGTTTGGTTATGTAATCGTGCGAAGTCCTGTGTTGACGCGTTGTTTGTGGTGATCACGGGAGAATCCTCGGACTCGGAGGATATCGTAACATTTTGTAACAAGTACTACTTGCTTCAAGTTGCTTGATCATTTCGAAAATCAGCCTCTACTGCGAAGTATCACGCTTTGAAGAGTTAGACGCACCCACTTTGGAGGGCTGGTATGTTTAAACTGATACCCTTTGATTCGGAATCTGACTCGCATTGCTCCTTGGCAGGGGACGGTAGAACTATCAAGTATTCTCTGTAGTTCAGCCTATATCTACCAGGAACATCCAGTTTTCACATAGGCGGCCGGTTGGCAGAATTCCTAACTTCTGCCACCATCACCACTAATTCAATCACCCGTGGGGTAGTCGCGACTCGCAGCACTGGACATACTGTTTACCATTTAGAATCAGCATTTATTTTCTTTAATTATGCGAGCATCGGATGCGCAGCTAGATGGAAGCTGATGTTCAAGACTCGAGAAATCGCTGGTTTTGAAAGCCGGCAGTTTCAATGTTCAACCAAGTACAACTCACACAGATGGGTTCTCCTGAACGCGCAGCATAAAGCCAAGCAATCTGACGTGTTGTGATACGTTATTTCCCGTGCCTGCCAGCGTCAGCTCAAGTTCTCGATACCAGTGGTTTCTGGTAAGCTGAGCATGTAAGACTAAAAGCTATTTCCTGCAGCATATGTGTATTCAACAGTCTGAAAATTTCTCCCAGAACACGTCCAGCGGCAGATTCAATGCCATGTTTCGCAACCTCAGACTTCGACTCTCGGACATACTGCACCTATCTGGGCCTAGTGCTTTCGCCATTAGCATCATTTTGAACATCTTCACCATACTGCGCTTGCAACACAAGTCTGTCGATGATAGACAGTACTGTATGTTCGGGTCGTCTTTACTGACAGCAAGAGGAGTTCATCTCACTCAGCATATTTGATGCAGCTTATATCGGTGATGATCATCCAATCAAATTACCCCTCGACTTGGATGTCGTTGCATTGACGTTTGAAGACTCAAAGTATTACAGTACATCGGGGCTCACGGCCTGGTCGGAGTGGAATTTGCTCGATCACTTTCCACAAGGCCACGGATTCGTGCGTCTAGGACCAAATGGTAAGCAATCACTTACTCCATCTCTGTCAATGCATGACTCAGACGCTTGCTGTTCATATATTCTATCAGGGCGACTATTTGGTGTCTCTATGTTTCACCAGCTTCATTGTCTACAAATGATACGACTAGCCCTTATTGATGGGCCCAATGACCATAGTGGCCACTGTCTTAACTTCTTGCGACAGGCAATTCTTTGCAATTCGGATACTACCCTTGATCCGGTCTACACCAATGGATCGATATCAGGCTCAGACGGCTTGGGTGTGACGCATATATGCCGAGATTGGTCGCAGGTTTATGCATATATTGAGGAGAACCAGAGGGGCCCCTGGTGGGTAGAGCACAAGGCAGAGATGTAATCATAATCATAACGCGAAGTCAAGTGCACGGGAGAATCTGATCTAGTTCCACCAGCGATAGATGTGATTGGCTCGGTAGATACTTATAAATCTCAGTTCGTGCTCGAAGCGGTAGCTGAGTCTCTTAGAAGGCTATTCAAAGTTGAGGCAACGTTGAGGATTGATCTCAGTGACTGGCTGAGTACCAAGCCAGCACTTCCTCGTGCACTGTGATTGTATCATCGTGAGGTTTTGGTCATTGTCTCGGTGCTTGAATTGGATGTCAAGCGCAGCCGTAGTGTGACAGAATTATTCAATGGCCAGAAGGTCACAGAACTAAAGCTTAGGTTAGATTGGCGTGGGTATTGATTACAAATCAGTCGATCGTTCATGCTGATATTTGAGAGGGATGCATCATGCATGAAAGTTGTCAAACCATGGCGGTGTCAGAAATACAATGCAATATGTCATATTCATTCCTACTAATCCATAATAAATACAACGCAAAGCTTCCGAGCTCCATCCATACAACACGCATATTGCATATATACAAGCGACATAATGAGATACGATAGCTACACCTAACGTGCATAATGTTTATCTAATAAGCATATAGAAGATGCACCAAGCGATAACGAGAGGAAAGTACACTATGAAGAAAGAAAATTCGATGGAAAGGAGTGTGAATGTTATGAAGTGATTTGGCCAAACATATATGTGATAGAATGAAACGAGTGTCGTAGTCGTAGAGAAAGAAAGCTCATGAAAAATCGGAGAAATACTAGATCATGTCGCATTGCGGGCAGGAACAATATACCCATAGACCAACTTCTTCGGGTCTTGGAGACTGAAGTTGCGACGTCCCTTCTGAGCGCGGGCCTTGCTCTCAAGGAGCGGTCCACATTTCTCCTTGTGCCGATCCAAAGAATCGGTCCTCGACCACCGCTTGTTGCAATAGGGGCATTCGTACGACGTAGTATAATGGACGCCCTCGATGTGACGGCCCAAATTGAGCATCGGCTCTGGTCTTGAGCAATCCTCGAATTTGCAAGGAGCTATGTCTGTGGATTTGACACCGTGCCAATGAAGCAGGTGGTGTGCGACGCGGGTCTTGTTCATTTCTACAAACAGCCCACAGGGCTGGTCCGTCCAACCGCATGCTCGTACGCAAGTCATCCCTGCGGGTAGTTCATTCGTAATCTTGACAGACCGTTTAGGGTAAGAATCGTCGAGTTCCATTGCGCCAAATGTCCTCGTTCGAAGAAGATTACCATCGGCATCATGGGTCCTGCGGCGACTAATATCGACAGGCTTCGGGTCACGAACGGGGGCAGCCATGACTACGGCATCGGCATCCGCTAGTCTGTAAAAACCAAACTTCCCTTCTCTTATTTCGTCTTCTTCGTCGTCCAAGCATCTGCGCTTGCGCGGACTTTGCGCAAGAGACGAACTCGGATTGCCGTCCTCAGATTTAGCAGCGTGACGAGTTTTGCGCTTGGGAGTTTTGGCGCCCACCGTCCCATCGGAAACAGAGGAAGACGGTTCGAAGCTACTGTGATCGCTCATTGTCGCATCAGAGTCTGAAACGGCTGGCAAAAAAGTGTTGTAATTGGTCATTGTATGCGCATTTTGCTCTTGGGGAAATTGCGGTTTGGGGTCATACGCGCGGGGATCTCCCGCTGCCCAAAGCTCTAGGTCGACGACAGTACGAGAGTGATTTTGAGTAAAATTAGGTCCGTTCGCATACGAACCACCATTATAGCCAGGCTGGGACCATGCGGGGCCTTCCAGCGAAGCTTGAAGGACGGAAGAGGATTGCGCAGGATGATGTTGGATCGGATCCATTGGGGGAAGCTGGGGCAGACCAGCTACCGGAGCGGTGAACTGGTTCAACATCGGAAACGACATCTGATTATCTTGAACACCCTGTGAGGGCGCTGAAGACCTGGAAAAATAAATGAGCAATGACGGGCACTCAGTTGGGGTGGCACGTACCAATGGCACGTCTTTAGGTATTCATCTTCCTCACACATCCGAGCCCATCTGCCAAAGGCCATCAGTTCGAGTAGAAATCTGGAATGCAGAACCACATACTCAGCGGCCACATGTTCGCGAAGAAACTCTGGGATGTCTTCCGAGACCGTGCTAGTGATGTTTTCTGCATGGATTCCAGGTTGAGAGCTCGGAAGGATAGACCCGCTAAGAAAATTATGAGATGGACCGCATCATCAAGCTCAAGATTGAACACTAACCTATCCAACGACATGTGAAGATTGTTGTATGAGGACCTAAATGCAAAAGGCACCATCAGCATAGGAAGATATTAAGTCGACGTGTGAGTAGACTTACATAGAGATATCGATAGGCGTGTCGATGATTTGAACAAGTGATCTAAAGCAGCTGATATGAAGTGCAAAAGTGAAGAGGATGAGAGAGATAGTGAAGTGAAGGATAGAACAGCGCCATCCTTTTAACTTCACAACGTGCTAGGCAAAGCACGCCTGTGGACGAGCATTGTGCCCCGACAACATGTCGCAAAAAGGCAATCGTGGGTCACTTCACCATAGAAAACATATCTGTGGCGTTCAATAAGCGTCTATTCTATTAAAACGCTTTGAAACACCATGCGTGCATCAATCCACAAGAGCGCAAAACTTCCACTACACGTCGCTCATCATTTGTATACCTAGATGCATGTGACGATGAAGTAAGCACTGGCACTTTTTTACTAGAGGATATGACATTACAAGTGCGTGCAACAGTACCAGTACAACTCCATTAAGGTTCGGAGTATCGTAACAATGAGATTTTGGTGAAGGACGGTCACGGCACATTCGACCACCACTGCGAGCTTTGGCAGCGGTACCCGCTTGAGGTGGCGCAAGAGACCTTCAATACAAGCGAGCAGCGGTATATCACAGCTGAATATTGCGCGGTAGAGAATTGGCGGCGTGAAGGTTTGACAAAGTATGTAGTGTAAGATTGTGAGTTGCATGTTTGGTGGTAAACGTGCAAAGACACTTACCTTCGCTGTCTATTGTGTCGTGACCCAGCCTATTCATTTCTGTTGAGGTGAGAATTGGAGGGCTTGACATCAATGGACACCGAAAACTACATTTTCAGATAGAGACCTTTGCCATGGTTTGACATTACCGTTTATTTGGAAATGTTACGAGCTAGCTGTAGACATAGCAAATGAAAACACGCAGCCAATAATACCCTCGTTATTATAATATGAGGGCAGTGTTTCCTGGACTAAACATCAACATCTTCATTTTGGATCACTTGAAGATACTTACATCACATATTCAATCAGCATATCAATACGTGTGACTGTCGTTATCACAATTCTGTGAGAGGCGTAAAGCTGCACGCATACCACAAAGTTCGTATTAGTATCAGAATTACGTGGCAATCAGTTGTGCTGCCAATGGCAGCCTAGGCCGCCTCTTGAAACAACCTGAGGCTCGACTCGCTCGAGCGTATGCGTTGTTTTGGTTTGTTGTCCAAAGGCTTCCAATAGTTTCCTTGTTTGGAAGCTGCACTTTGCAAATTATTAGCTCGTTCTCGACAAGTTCTCGACCATGCAACTTCATCGACACAACTGGTTACTGGTACTAGTAAGCTATTGTAGCCTTTTCGCATGAGTCACCGAACTAAGAGGAACATTCATCGTTCAACGTACGCATAATAGTGTCCCTGAAAACCGAAAGGCCCTTTCACTCCAGATCGAATATCGAGCACGTCAGATTAATGCTAAAGCCTCCGCCCAGGCGGTCACTGAACGTTGAACCATCTATTTGGATATTATCAATTTGCAGGCACACTACTAGCGCATCAGCTTGGCCTTTGAAAATATAGGCGAGTATGAGGACCGTGACTGTAGTAGCTTAGCTTCGTAACCTTGTAGTTCAACGAGAGGCCATGGAGCTCCGCTCGGCCCAATGCCCCTCCTTTCCTTGAACGTCTGATACTTCAGTCGAGATCAGCTGTATAGAAGTATGTAGGAGGCTGAGGTCCGCAATAGGCACCATTAAAAATTATTTGCCAAATATTAATGTGACATGTTACGGTGACAGTTCCGCGTGATCGGGTTTTTTTTGAGAGTAAGTCCGAGTCAGGCCTGCGTAGATTATAGGCAGGTCTCTCCACACCATCCGATCCATCAATCCCAGTCGTGCCAGGGCACGCATGAATCTGAAGAAGGGCCACTTGCCAAGTCTCAGCTGTCCAACTCGAACTCCGAGGGTGAGCCTTGTCGCGGTAAAATACAATTACCATCCACTATAGTAGCAGCTGAACGTGACAGTTGATCTGTCATAGATCAACATCATGAGCAGAATCGGCCGACGAGAGTAAATTTGATTTAATTATCGAGACTCGAGAGCCCCCATCGACAAGCGTAGGTTTCCGACTAGCTCATTTTCTGGGACACTGTTCAAGAAATCTTACTCATTTCTGATGCAGATGCAATAACTTTATGGGAGGACTAAGAGGTATATCCTTGAGGGATAGACCTCCATGAAGCCTGAGGGCCCCCGGCTGATACATCATGATAGCAACCGTGATCTAACCGACGCCAATGTGATGGTCGCTAGCAGGTGGTGAAATACGGGGAGCATGATACTGCATGATACCATTTTTCTGCAAGATGGCGTTCCATCATGCATCCTATGGCGTTCTATGGCACCCTATTACCCACCATATTGCGTGTCCCATCGCATCACTCCTCCGTCAGTGATGTTTTGATAACATACGTCGTAGAGTTCAACTCTTTATGTTTAAATGCTGACAGCTGTAGGCTCATTGCCCCATACGCTCATATATCTTGTATGAGTCGTGGCTAGGTTGAAGTCTTATCTCTTCCCTCCAACCTTTTCGCTCACGAGCGTTCGCCACAATGGGTGCCGAAAAGACGGACGCTACTACTTATCGCAGTAGCAAAGGCGAATTATCCGACGTCTCAGGCCATGATGGAGAGTCTCTTCACGGGCCCCCGCGGCACGCCCTGCAACGTAAACTCAAGAATCGTCACATCGCCATGATCAGGTATATTTGAATTTTCTTTTTTCTTCTGGCGAATTCTC